GTCATCAAAAGCCATATGTAGAAAATCTGCTGGGTTTGTTGACTGCGAACTTTACCTTTACTCTAGATAGGAACTCATAAACAATTTTTTTCGCGAGTTGGAATGGAAAAATACCTACTGCATCTTGAGCGGTATGTCCGGAGACTGAAAGCCAACCCAGCTGGGTACCGACGCCCACCCTGGGACCACTTTGGCATATTATCATAGCTATCTGCCTTCTGTTGAGCCTGTCTCCAGGTTCCGCTTTTTTGCTCGTAACACGTTTCCTGTGTATCGTGCTGCATGCCTCCATGTTTCGAAGCTGGGTGTCAGCAGGTTGGCAATGTGATTCCACTGTGATTTTTCCTACCTCTTCTTCGAGAATATCTCTTTCTGTTTACTATTTTCCGCATTGGAAAGAGGTGTGCTCTGTGTAAGTAGTTCGGAAATTCCTATGTATGGCGTCGTTCCATTTTATTTGTCACAGCGTGAAGGTTTTTTCCTCACTTCTGAGCTCACAGCCTGCTGTACACACTAGGGAGACGGTCCATCACTATGGCTCCACTGATTACTAACACTGCGTCCGTAAATACTGTTCGGTATGCAGGTGATATACGTGGAGAACTTATTCTTTCCATCGACAGTAATTTCTTTTGCCACTGCTTCTTGGTTAGCGCATTCATTGACGCAGACTGTAGAGGTCCTTTTGTTGGTCCATAAGTTGAGCAGAGCACTTACAAGTACCATGTCGGATTTCATAGAGGCACTTTCTGTTTGGAAGTTGCTTCATGCATTTGGCTAGTTCTTCGGCGCCTTATTCGAAAAGTTCAGTTTACATCATGTATATATGATGAAAGCAAAGGAAATGGAAGACCTCCACTACATTGAAAACATCAGCTGCAAAAGGACTTGGTTTTGTTTGGTGTCTCCAATTGGCATTCAACGGTTGAGTGAAGAAACTACTCACATAAGCGGTGCCTAGGCTAATTTAATAATTTACCAATCCCTCAGGTTTGTGAGTTCAGCTTTCTATGATTTCGTCTTTACTGCATTTGGGCAGTCTTCTTACTCTTAAACTCAATATCTTTGGACGCCGGGCAGTGGAATACATTTTTGCCTGTCGCATCGAACAGCAAAATGCGGTAATTAAGACTAGAGTTAAATGAAAGTAAGCTTCTGAAGAGTCCGAACCGACATATTCGATTCCACAGAAGTCATGTCAAACAGTCTTTTGGGTTTTGATAAGAGTCGCGCGGCGAGGTAGTGCAGAACAAGATCGCAATGAAGTAAAGAGAGCAACCTTGTATGAGAGTTTTGATTATAATCCAGGTATGCTCCCACCAAGTCTTTAGCTGAGCCGCTAGCTGGAATAGACTTGTTATCTCAATGGCCTGGGTTACGAAGACCTCAACCGTTGTAATTAAGTGAGCCGAAGGTGACGAATTGAACAATTTTTTGAACACAGAGTTGAATCGTGAGAAAACTTACCCTTCTTCCATAAAAATCATGAACAAACGACATTTTTGTTGGCAATTTTTATAATTTATATTGTTTTTGTTTTTTTAGTTGCATATTTGTTTGTATTTCTTGTTGTGTAACAATTTCAAATGCTGCATTAAAATCTTAGAAAGTAAAATATATATATATATATATATATTTATATATATATTTTGCATTTTTTAATTAATTTTATTTTTTTTATTTTGTAAATTTGTTCCCGCTTGCCGTGGTGAACTTAGCGATATGCATGATAGATCAGTATTTAGTCATTAGTTTATTCAACATACACATATAATATATATTTCCATACATACATATACATATGTAATGCTATACATAATAATAAAAATAAATAGTTCTCTTTTGAGTTTTGTCACCTTCATTGCTTGTATGAAAGAAAGCTTCGCTGCTCTTTCCCAAATTGGTTATGAATGTGGGATTGGTGAGGCTGAATAATTAGGAGAATAGGAAAACTGTTAAGCCGCAGAAATTCGCGAAAAGAATAGTTTGACATTTTTTTAGAATGAAAGCTGAAAACTTCTGCTAAGGGCTACTTAGGCCTTGGGCAGCGATTGCGTATATTTTCCTATATCTGTGATTTTTTCGTTTAGTAGATATCGGGAAATTGGTGGAAACATCACAAAAATTCATCCACAATCAAGCTGCGATCGTCACGGAGCGCATTTTCGATTTTTTGAGATTTTTCGTCAGTCTCATCTGAAGGTCTTCCGCTCCTCTCTCCCTCATAGCTATATTACCATTTGCGTTTACACCCCATTATAAATTTCAAATGAAGGGTTTACCTTTCAAAAGAGCTACCGGATGACCCAGCATACCCGCGTGCCACTGGGCGGGAGAATGGATAGACATTGTTCACGAAACGTCGTGTCGCGTTGTAGGTTCTCAATGTGCTGAGCTCGAATTCGAAGTCTGGCTACATCACCGTGAGAGCTTCAACACACTTTCTTGAAGTGCTATTTTTCATTTTGTTCCAGTTCCAAAAGTAGAACAGACAAATTGACTCAAAATTTACATAAATTGCTCCACAAACACGATGACTAAGTTAAATAAGGAATTCCAATGGAAAAAGAATCGCTCCTACCTATCTTTCTCTCTTTGGAGCGAGGAGGAAATGGATTGATATGGGAAAAAACCCAAAGGAGACTAGAAATATATCGCAGATCGAATGAAAATCGATTATTCGAATATTGAAAATTAAATAGTAATCCCTGGTCAAAGAACCATCTTCTCTGTCACTCATGCTGAGGACCAAAAGTTCGATTTTTATACCCGGCTCCACTATGTACCCAGGGTATATAAGGTTTGTTTTGACTTGGGATCGTATATTTCTATATATTCAACGAGAAAACTCAATCTTACTTATAAAATGAATATAATAGTCGCAGTGAGTTCCAAAAAATATTAACACATTGGGTCCACAAACAAGTTGGCTACCATTGAGCTGGCCTTTTTTCGTCCTCCTTTGAAAGTCAGAAAAGTTCAAAAATTAAAGTTAAGTCCACTAGTTGCTAAATTTTCTTTAAACATACGCATGTTTTAACGATTTAAAGTTGCTACGGCAAAAAAAATTAAATTTTAACTGTAATCCATAGAAACTGGCCACATTTTTGTATGTTCACATTTGCGCTTGTCGGCAAAATAATAGCAATTTACTACATTAAAGACAAAGTGAGTTAGTGAGAGCTAGCAAATATACTCGTCAAAAATGAACTAGTCCAAAAATAACTAGTTGGGGTGAAGCTCAAAAAATTTTAAGCATTTGTTTTCCCTGCTAAGGGACGACTGCAATTAAATAAAATTATTAATTTTCAATAATTTTTGGTTGTTGGTTGGACCAAGGCTTAGAGCTAGGCTATTTAATTGATAAAAAAAGTCTTTCGAATTCGAATTTAAATAGTTAAGTAATCAAAATGTTCTCCCAATCCCACATTCTTATTTCGCACCAGCTATTTTTATTTTGTGTGTTTATATGCTTCAAAATTTATAAGCTGTTTTCTGGCATTTTGCTTAAAAGAAGGTCTTTTTTTTATATTTTTCCTTAGTTTTTTAATATTAAATATAATTAATTTATTTTCTATTTATATTTTATTTTATTGTTTTTTATATTTTATTTAATTTATTTTATATCATTTAATTAATTTATTTTTTATTTTTATGTTAATTTTTTATATTTTTTATTTTTATTTTTTATATTTTTTTAATTAATTTTTTTTTTTTTTTAATTTCATTTTGTTTTTCAATTTTTATTCTCTAAATCCCTCTGTAGTTACTTTGATTTTTTGCAGTTTTTGTATTATGTCTGACACAGATATTTATGCATATAAATATATGAATTAGTTTTTGAAAATCAAAACGGTGCTTTTTAAGTTCAAATATGCTTGCGGTTGCTGCTTGCGTTGCTGCTTGCGTTGCTGCTGGCGTTTAGGTGGTTTTGTGGTGTGTTGTTTGTTGTATAGGTATGCAGGAGTATATTAGACATTCAATGTATGTATGTATTTATTTAACAATGCATTTGCGTAATATAACCAACGGTTTTTAATTATTAAAATTCGCTTTGGGGTAAATTGGGAATTTTTATTCAATTTGCTTATATATATATGTATGTCGTTTACTATTGAAGTAAATATGCAGTTGTTGTTTTGGAACATTTTTTAGTAAATATTTCTTTTTATTCATTCATTCATTCATAATTGAGTTGTATATATATATGTATTGTATATATGTAAATGTGCATTTACAAATATTTATAAACAAAAGGCCAAACTCTCAAATGGTTTCGAAAGTTTTTCATACAGACGTACGTACATACAACTAAACTTGATAACAATGTGCCAAAATGTTAAAAATAAAGTTTTATTTGTTTTTTTTTTTTAATTTTATAAAGATAGTATAATACAATTTGTACAAATTAAGTTTATTTATATAGTATTTATTCGCTTTATAAATTTCTTTTAATACATATATATTTGTTTTTCAAACTATTATTTTATGGAAAATCAAGCAGAGGCAAGGAAAGTATAATTAAAGGAAAATTAAAAGCAACAAAGTAAAAAGTGGGCAAAAAATAAATTTAAATATACATACATACATATGTGCGTATGCATGTATGTGGCTACATTTGCTAGAGGAGAGTTGATAGTTGGGTTTGCGTATTTTTAGTTGCCTTCTCTAAGTAAGCTATTTACTTTACTTAATACTAATTTTAATTTTTTACTAATAAATGTTCTTATTTTTTTTTTAGTTTTCCACACCATAAGCCATTTAAGTACAGTTACAGTTAACATTAATAATTAATTTAACAGTGTTTTGCAATGCTTATGTGTGTGTGTGTGTGTGCATTTATTATATAGTGTATATATATATATATATATATATATGTGTATATTTTTTTTATAAATTACTTTCAAGTAACTGTTAGTCGATATTTTAGATATATATATTTTTAATATATAATCTAACGTCTTTTTATATGTATTTCTCTTTTCTTCTTTTTCTTTTCTTTTCTTCGCTATACCACTACTTTACTACACATCTCTTTGCGTTCTCGTTTATCACTTGGCGTGCTGCCCAGCTTTTTTAATTTATTCATTTTTTTTTGCATTTTAATTTCTTTATTTTTTCCTTTTGTTCTGTTTCATTGCATTACTTTAAGTAATTCTGTTTCGGCTGTTGGTCTCTGTTAATTACTAATTAATTTACAAACTATTTAAGTACATTTAACATTAATAATTTAGCTGTAGGTAATGCATAATAACACCGTTACTCTCTATTATCGGGTTTCTCGCCCCAGTGGCGTGCTCAAGTAATTTCAAAGATTCAAGCGTTCAAGAGGAAAATCTCAAAAATTCAGGCAGAATTACTAGAGGTTATATTTTTTTTTTAAAAATACACATACTTTTACTATTTAAAATTAAAAAAAAAAAAATTGATTTCAACATTTCAACTAGTATGCATACTGCACCGCAAGTAACCAGTTCCATTTACAGTATTTCAAAATTTTTGCTAAACTGAAAAACAATTATAATTTACTTTTCAGTTGACAAATTGAGTTGATTGCAAAACACCTAGTTTAAAATATAGTCAAAAATGAACTGGTCCGAAAATAACTAATTGGTAGCTAGTTCCAACACATTTATTCTTTATCACTTTGCAGTGCATGCATTTAAATTTTAGTTCTGCCTTCGTATTCGTATTTTTTGCTGCACAACATACCTCCTCACACTCTCTCTCTCTCTCTTCCTCTCTCTTCATTCGTACCCCATAGCATTTTACAACTTTTGTAAATTCTTACTGCCAACATTATTTGAGTACCTAAACTCTAGTCCTCTTCCTTAACATAAGCTATTCCCCCTCGTCTGCGCTATTACGATCTTTACAGTTGCACCTGGAACGTTTGCGCCGGTACCTTCGGCGGTGATATAAATGGATTGGTACTGTGGTGTATTGGTGCTATACTACTGCCGATCACAGGTGTTACCGGCGTTGCCGCTGCTACTGGCGTTGTGGCTACATCAGCCACTGGTAGATCGGGTGAGAGTGGCTTCGTCACGCCCGCAACCCATTCGGCATCGAAGGGATCCACACCTAAGGGCGGTGCAGCACTCATTGATTGTGTACGCCCGGTTGAGTTGAGCAGACGTGGCGCACGTTTTAATAAAGCCGGCGATGTCTTTCTAACCACCTCACCCAACCATTGTTCCGCGTTGGGCAGTGGTGCAACCATCTCCACTGGGCGTCCGCCGGTAAATGGTACTGGTGGCGGCGTCATTGTCAACGTTGGTGTTGTTGGCGTATGCACTGGCGAATTTGTAGATACCGGCGATATTGATGAGACACGTGGCGCCACTTGAGCTGTGGGCGTGGTGGCCGCTACACCCACGCTAATTGAATTGCTGCTCACTGCACCATCACCATACTCGTACACTCGACTACCGGCTGAGATGCTATGGTTGCTGCTACTTGCAGCTGGCAATGATGTTGGTGTGGAGATTCCCTTTTGTTGTTGTAGCGTCTTATCAGCGGCAATGATATTCTGATTAATGCTCAAGTTATTATTGAAATTGAGATCATCGCCAGCAGCGATCATTGCATCGGTTTGCGTAAGCAACGAAAGCCCCTGACTGAGCTCCTGACACAATTGGCTGACCGTATCGATGGTGGCGCAACCGTTATCCATATCTGCAATGCCCATTTTAGCTGGTGAGATCTCTGGTATTGGTGAAACACTACGATTTGGTGTGGCCAAAGCGGCGGCGAGTGAGCCACCGCCAGTGGCGGCTGCCAAAAATGCCTTCTGTCTTTCGGTATTGGACGGAAGATCGTTGATGCGCAGTGACATCTGCCGTTTGAATGGCGATTGACTGCCGATGGTGCTGAATGCACGAAACGAGCCCTGACGCTCCAACATTGATGGTGTGGCATGTGGTCGTTCAATGGCGAAGGGGTTGTAGGGTTTAGGCTGTGGTGGCACAGCGGCCGATGGTGTCTCACCTTGCGCCAAACGTTCGGTCAAAGTTTGCTGACGGAACGAGCCCGTGCGTGTGAATGTTGAATTCTTTACATCGAATGTCATTGTGACGCCACATTCCTTATCACGTCGCTGTTTACGTTCCAAGCAAACGGCAAAAGCGCAACCCACGGCGTGGGAGAGGCGCTCACCCAACTCTTTGCAAGCTAGAAAGCCATGACACATCCAACGACGCGTGGTGCCATCGCGACAAATGTAACTGAAGCCGCGTTCGTGGTTACGATCCGGCGCACAGAAGCTCACTTTCTCGATGGTCTGATCGACAATGAGGCCCTTTGTTTCATCGTCCACGACGCGCAGTCCATCGCCGCTTACGTGCAGCACCCCGCGTATGGGTCGACGGCGCGAATTCTGCAAAGAGAAAGCAAGAATAATTAATAAATCAATAAATCACTGAATGTAATTGAGTGATAAGCGTTGTGAAGAACGCCCACATTTGTTGCGTGCGATTAGTGAAAAGTTGAGTGGTGTCCGCTCGTGGTCTGTGCGTCAGCATACGCCCACAATTGATAATGGAAGCAAAGGTATTTTTCTTATCGAAATCACCTGAGTATTGATGTGTTGGAGTAGGTAACGGTTGGTTAAAAACTATGGCACTCAATGCATGAGTTTTTGGGAAGTGAAGATCGATGTCGGATGTCACGGATTCTTGCAACGGTTTTATGGTACCAGAAGTTTCCAAAGCCGATATTTTTGTGCAAGTTTTGGAAGTTTGGCACATAAGGCTGAACCCTCTGACTGATCGTTGACAATTTATTTAGTTATCAGATCTGTAGGTAATGAGACGAAAGGTCTTTTGCGGGTCAACTGAGGAAGGAAAGTCTTATTTCTTAGTACTTGGGTTGAAACAGAGAGAACTACTGAGCTCAAATATACGAAATAACATTCTTTAGGTAGAGGCAGTTCTCTATTTATTAGAACCAGCCCTTACTGAGCCGTATTATCTACAAGACATCCAGAGACTAACAGTGCCATTTTATTTTAATCACTGACCTAATCGGAGCTTGGATTGGTACCCTTCGGAACGATATTCTTCCGCTGCAGCCAAGGGAAGGCTATTGCGTGCTACCCCCTGGAAGTTCGTGGGTTTGCCACGTACCCAGACTAATATCTGAACATCAAAACAACTTTCTTTTACATGCTTTCTCTCTGAAAATTAAGATGATATCTGGTCTGAAAAATCTATCAGCCACAGAAAGGCGTCCCACTTGTGGAATGTACACCGGAAGTCAGAAGCTCGCCTAAAAATCACTTAATATCACATGTCCTTCCCAAGCACACGCAAACAATGCACACTCAGCTGCTATCTACTTACCCTTAATACTTTTAGGGCCTCCTCGCAAACTTGCATACCGCGCGATTCGAATACCTCAACACAACCCAAGTATTTGACCGCAAACGAACAGGTCGCTGAACGTACAGCTTCTTCGTCTGCCTGCCATTGGTGAGGTTTCGATGATTCGGGTACACGATCCTTCCGACGACGAAACGAATCACGAAAGGATCGACGTAAACGATCCATTTTCTTTGGTGATTTCTTGCTAAAACGAAATGATGCGGATTTCTAAAGGAGGAGGGTAGAAAAGAAGAGAAACGAAAGGACATTAAAAAATGCATTCATAAATATTCAAATGAAATGCTGTAAAGAAAAAAATGACAAAAACACAAAAGTGACGATGCGATCGTGTGAAACAAGTGCTAGACTGCCGTTGAGTTTCAAGCGCCGTACGACGGTTTGAAAATTCAGAACAAAGGTTGGCTTGGCTCGTTCCATTGTTTATAATGTTTCTTCTCCTTACTACTTTAGTATTGTACATATACGAGTACATATAAAACCTACCCCATTTTTGACATCACCAAATTTTCCGCGCGTGAAACCGCGCTCTAGTGGTTCGTGTGTGTGTGATGATGAATTTCCCATAGCGATATGAAATTGTGCGCTCGCTTGACTGCTTTTCTGCTGTTGACTGTTGAGTGTTTCCTTGCCTTCTCACTTCCTTTCTTCCTTCCTTCCTTCCTGTCTGTTGCCGTCCCTCTTAACGTTCTTTCGGGCTGATCGTGCTCACTTGTCCAATGAGGGTTGTTGCGCACAATTGACCGTTGGAGTTTGAAAAAAGTTGCTGTCGCTGTTACTGTGTTAGTTGTTGTTGTTCGATTGCTTGAAATCTTTGTGCTTAAGATGTCGCCTTTGTATTGATTTGGCTCTCACACCTTCACGTCACAAATTAATTGAATTTGTATTAAATTTTTGCTTCTTTAAATGTGTGCACATCTCTTTCAGCTTCCTTCTCTCCTCTTCTTTTCTTGTGTTTACTTAATGGAATTAACTGACGATTATGGTTTTATTAAATTGCCATTAATTGAATGAAAATGTCCCATAAGGTATTAAGTTGTATCAATTAATACGCATGATTGTGTTGGCTGGTTATTATTTAATTTGTTTGTTGTTGTTGTTGTCTTGCGTGTAGGTTGCATGTGTGAAGGCTAAAACTGTTTCACGAAAAAAAAATTTTATTTAAAATATGTTCAAGGGTTTTTTTCAATTACTGCGCTTCGTTCAGGGGCGACACAAAAGCAAAAGGTTTCTTAAAAAGAAATAATAATAATCATTTATTTTTATAAAAATATTTCAGAATATTTCAGTATTAGAATTTTAAGAAGTTTTTTTATTTAATCATGTTTTTTAATTAATTTTTTTAATTAGTTTTTTTTTAATTTTTTTAATAAATTAATTTAATTTATTTAATTTTTGCTTTATTTTATTTTATTTTATTTTGTTTTATTTAATATAATTTAATTTCATTTTATTTTATTTTATTTTATTTTATTTTATTTTATTTTATTTTATTTTATTTTATTTTATTTTATTTTATTTTATTTTATTTTATTTTATTTTATTTGAATTTATTTATGTTATTTTATTTTATTTTATTTCATTTTATTTGATTTTATTTCATTTTATTTTATTTTAAATTGCTTTATTGTATTTTTTATTTTTGTATACCTATTGTTAATATATATATCATATGAAAGATTTCTAAATCACTCAAATTCTCATTATCTACCTCTTCATGCGCTTCACAGTTCCGATAAGCAGAATAACGTGCTTAACACAGCAGAGATATCTCAAAACTTTGTTGTTGAAAAAATCAAACTTTCGTTAGTTGGATGACTCATTGCGGTATAAACAATAATAATAGAAAAATTGAAAAAAATGTTAAGTGGTATGAAATATCAATATGCTCAACTGCAACACGTTTTCGGTTTCATTTCGGCCGCATTATCGGCTATTTAAGCGAAATTGTGTCGATCAAGTTTGTTTAGTGCTGTCAGTTATTGTTATTGTTGTCGACAGCGACTGTGATATTTTGTTTGAAAAGTTACTCATGTCATTACAAAAGTGCGCTTAGCTGGCATACCGACAAACATACACATGTTACACACCTATATGATTAATACCACCCAATTTTCAACAACAAAAAGAACAAAGAGAAATTGTTTGAAACCCGTCATTGCAATTATGAAATATTTGTTACCGATATCATAGAAAATTCCACATTTTTTCTTTGAGAGAAAAAAAATTGAAAATCCAAACACATAAAACCACTCCAACTCTTTAGCCGACAATCAATCATACGCTTGCCCGGGCGATTGAAGGTGGCGATATGACTGTGCAGAACAATATGGCTCAAGAACCTCAAGTATTGGAGTTGAAATTTGTGATTTCTCATAAGGCAATAAATGCAATTGATCGTAGATGGTGACAAAAGAATTGAAAAATAGCTTTTCGTTCAATAAAAGTTAGCATCGGAAAACCAAAAAGCTTCAAATCTTATTTTCATTTACTATTTCATCGATGATGATGAGTAATCAATAGAAAATAAAAAAAACTATAATAATTAGCATGTCTATGTGAATTGGTTTGTACTAATTTTTAATACAAACGTAAGATTCAAAATTATCGGGAAATAGTTTCATACAGACATACGTACATTTGTATAAAAATATAAACATATATACACGTATGTGCATTTGCGCTGAGCAAACTAGAGGCAACCTTGCCTACTGATCACTGATTTGCATTATTTAAGTTTATAAATATATGTATGTACGTATATGTAAATATGTGCTTTATTTGTGCTAGCCGCTAGTATTTTTTAGCTTACAAAATATTTGACTAAAACTTTGATTAACCGCGCATTTATACGCTGCTTTTTTGAAAATTTGACAGTTTAGCTAATTAGATTAATAATACTTAATTGATATTTAAATTTAAGAGAAATAGTTGGAATAATAATAATAATAATATCACTGACGTCATATATGGGGTAATTTTTTAGCTCTTGTATTTAGCTAAAATATCGAAAATACATTCAATCAGCTTTGTTTTTTGTATTCAAAACATGTCAATATGTCCAAAATGCGCTGAGTAATTAATTCTTATATATAGTTTTTATTCAGCTGATCAAAAAAGATATTCAGCTCATTTTCAATACAAATATATGTGATTTTCCTCAGCTATGTAAGAAATTCTTAAATATATTTTTTATTCAGCTTGTTAAGAAATAAACTCAGCTGCTGAAAGGGTAAATTCAGCGAATTCTAAAATAAGCTTATCATTTTGGAAACGAATTCAGCACAATTCAGCTCCATTAAATCGAAAAAAACTGCTTTAGCCAACCAGAATGAGATTTAATTGCAAATCAGAACTATACAGCTCCTTCAGAAATAATGAAAAGCAATTTTAACAATTTAGTTCTTATAATTATAGCAGTTCGTCCTTTAAGCGATAAAAATTTCAATAATTTATTTATGAAAAATAACTAATAATTTTTATTATTTTATTTTTTTATTTACTCTTTTATTAATTATTACTTTTATATTTTTTAATTTATTTTTTTTTTAATTCTTTTTGTTCCAGTTTCATCTCTTATATTTCTTTGGGTTTATATCCTCGCAAGGCTGAATTTTATTTCAAGTTATTTTGATACACCTATGCTAATTCAGCTGCATATTCAGCTCATTGGGAAGCAAAATTGACTCATTTGAATTAGCTTCGTAGCAGAACTAGTACTTTTTAAGGTTTGCTGGCATAATTTCATACAGTATTTAACTTCGCTTATTTAAAATTTTATTTATATAATAAATAATTTCAATTGACTATGGCGAAAGTTGTTGCAAGATATTAAAATATTCTTATTTATTGATTGTGTCTCATGTGCTTATAACTTAAATTATGCCATATACTTATATTCAGCTGATTCAGCAAAATTCAGCATACAAAAAACTAATTTCTTAAGCTAATTTATGTAACTTGCCACTTAAGTAACATATTCAGCCCACTCAGTAATAAATTCAGCTTGCTTATAGAAGCGTTAATTCGCATTCTATGCTTTTTTCAACTAATATTCACCTTCATCTTTTACACACCTGATAATCCATACCACTCGCCAATTAAAAGTAGTACTTGAAAGTCATTTGTTATGACACTTTGTTGCGAAGAACAGCTGCTTAAGCACACAGCCAGCACAGTGGCAAAATACTCGTGACTTTGTATGTACAATGAGTGCTAATTGAGGCCAAAATGCGACAGTGTGACCGCGTTAACGGCTTAACTGGCGATACCGGTGACGTTAAAGCCATTTGTTTACGCTTTGGATTAAATTCTTATTTATTTTCGCTTTTATGCAGTTAAATTGTTAATAAGTGCTGGAGTATATAATTACTTCCCTTTGTACTGTATGGCATTTATTTTTAGTTTTATTGCTTTTTTTTCGATTTTTACATTGGTTACGCAGGCCAAGCAAGCTTTTCTAAGCGATTTCCGTTCTATATATTATATTAATTCGCTTAAAGAAGATTCAGAGAAGTTATGTGAAAGAGAAATTTATTTTTCTATGTATGTATGTATATATATATGTAAATATATTCAAGAGGAATTGTTGCCGATTTTTTATTTACATAATAATTTAATTTTTATTAGCGACTTTTTGACAGTTTGGAAGAAAATTATATTGTGCTAATTAATAAATATTTGCATATGTGAGTGTGTATGGGAAAATGTTTGAGTAGAGTGACCTTATTTAATAAACGCATCAAAGTATGTGAAATCCAGCAAATATGAAATGAAGTTTTATTTTTATTATATTATACTATATTTAATTTTTTATTTTTTCAGTTTATTTAATTTAATTTTAATTTATTTTAATTTTTTATGTTTTATATTTCATGTCATTTTATTTTATTTTGCTTGATTTTATTTCTCGCGGTAGGCGAGTGGTTAGCATTGTGTACTGTCATTTGGAAGGCTCGGGTGCAAATCCCCGTGCGACCAACAGGGAATGTCCACCCTCCGAGTGTATTTCTGACATGAGATAAAGCTCCCCATAAAAAACCAACAGCCGTTCGGAGGCGGCTTAGGTAGGTCTCTCTATTTGTTGGGAAACATTAAGACGCGAAACTACAATTTTTTTAAATTTAAGTTTGTTTTATTTTATTTTATTTTACTTTATTTAATTTAATTTAATTTAATTTACTTCAATTTATTTTATTTTATTTTATTTTATTTTATTTTATTTTATTTTATATTATTTTTTTTATTTTTATTTTTTTTTATTTTTTTTATTTATTTTTATTTTTTTTATTTTATTTTATTTTAGTGCTCTCAAATAATTATGTAAGAATTATATGAACACGCTCGTAAATTTAAGTTTTATTTGTAATTGTTTTATTTTATTTTTTCCCGCTCCGCCACCTCAACGTCTCTCACAATATTTCAATTTGACTTTCAGTACATTTTAATTACATTTACTCAAATAACTAGTTATTTATGCACAAATATATCAATCGCCTTTATCTTTTTATCTATTTTTTCGCTAATTCCTCTTTCCCACTTTGCTGGTTTTGTTGTTCTTTGTTTAGCGTTGAAAGCGTGTAAACAATGTCCGACGTTTTGACTGCAATCGCCATGTGATAATGTCACATAAACGTCACCTTTTTAGTAATTTTATCAAAAAGCACACACCGGCAAACAAGACACACGCGCATACATAGATACATACATATAATTATGTAGATACGTATGAGTATATTTACTTATACTTGTATATTTATCTGATTTGTGCTTGCGCTTTTAGTCACAATTGATAAGCGTTGAGGCGTGGAGAAGAGAAATTTCACTGGAAGTCTGTGGCTATACGCGCCGTAGAAGATAGTTGTGAAAAGAAGTGACAAATGCTTTCGATTTTTTTGTTATAAATTTTATATTGTTAAACTTTTACGAGAGAGTATTTTACTTGAAACCCCACCGAATATTTTTTAGCGCCCTAAATTCTAAGAAAATTTGGTGATATTCGACAACAAAAACCTTTTAACACAATCAGCGTGCTCAGATTCTATTCAGCTTATGAAATTAGCCCGATCTTTTAAAACTGCGTATAAATTGTGAATACGGGATTTTTCTTTAGTTCATTCAGCGACATGTTTGCTAA